CTTGTTTCAGGATTTTCCGGCGCTGCTTTTGCACACAGGCATAGATCTGTCTCGTTTCAGGAGCTTCTGCGCCGATATTTACATGCAGTTTCATCTTGCTCAGTTTCTGCGCCGAGATAATGTTCTGGTTCACAGTACTGTTTTGTGTTTTGTTTCAGGAGTGCCTGGCTCTGATTTCACACACAGTTTTGTCTCGCTTCAGTAGATTCCGCGCCGATCCGGATGAATATTGATTGTCTCATTCACAATTATGTCTAGGGCCTCAGAGTTTCTCTGCCATGTTCACTTTGTGTCGTTTATATAGTGTCGCTGATTTCACACACTTCTCAGTTCTCCGTCTCGTTTCAGGAGTTTTCGCGTTGATCCGGATGAAGTTCACGGTACTGTTTTATGTCGTTTCAGTATAGTTTCTGGCGCTGATGTCACACACTTATCCGTTTCGTTTCAGGAGTTTCCGCGTTGATCCGGATGAGTGTTATGTTCAGTTTCACGGTACCGTTTGTCTCGTTTCCGGACTTTCAGGCGCTGATGTCACACGCACTCCTCCGTCTCGTTTCAGGAGTTTCCGCGTTGATCCGGATGAATGTTCACGGTACTGAGCGCCACCGGGGAGCTGGCCGGTCCCAATCTCTACATCGACACCATTCTGCAGAACGTCTCCTGCGTGCTACGAAATGAGTAAGAGCACCACCATTTAACCTTCCAGGCGGTGGGGGGGGGGGCAGTTTTTTGCCCCCCTCCCTTTAGTTTTTTTTTCTCAAAATATCTCGAGAACCGCTGCGCCGATCGTCACCAAACTTTCAGTACCCTCCCGTGAACAGCTATTGCACATGGTGACCAAAAATTTTTTCCAAAGGCTATGATAGGTTGGACGCTAATGACGTCAGAGTGACGTCATTTCTGCCATTTTCGACCCAAAAAAAGGTTTCGCGAGAAGAGCTGTCAGGCCTACAGCTTTAGAGATACAGGAAAATGTTACAACATGAAAGGTGTAGAATGCAGAGGGCTACAAAACTGCTATCTCGGATTTTGGGAATTTTTGGATTTTGACCCCCAAGAATAAAAAAATAGATTTTTTGAATATAATAGCCGAAAAATCCAAAAAGTTTTTTGAATTTCGAAACAAACGGAATATATGTGATAGTCCCTATCGCCTTCTATCTACATACCAAATTTGAGATCGATACCTCTTTTTTGGCCAAGTTATAGCGAAAATACTGTTCAAAATTGATGACGTCAAATTTTCAAACTCAATTTTTCTAGACCTCGTAGCGCAAAACAAAGACCACTATTAGACTCCCCGTGACGAGCTGCATCGAATCAATACCCATTTTATGCAAAAATATCAACTTTGAAATTTGATCTTTTTGACCTGACCTTGACCTGACCTCCACCAGAAAGTGACCCTAACCGTATCTGATGGTCTTATAACCAGCATCATTGAGTTGGAAATGAAAAAACTGGCCATAAAACATGCATCGCACAACCTTAGTAACGTTGGGTTCATGTGGTGACCTTTGGTGACCTTTGGTGACCTGACCTGTGACCTGACCTGGTATGACCAGTGACATCTAATAGCAACATATGTACTAGACAACTGACGCCCTATCGCTGATTCTCGACAAAATGCGTTTTACTCGGCGTTATAGCGCTTTCCCTAGAAGCCCCGTGAACGGTGAAACATTTTATCTTTGACCTGACCTGTGACGTCATCGGTGACCCCGAGGTCAATGAAATTTGGTTTCCTTCGACAAATTTGACAGGGCTATCGAACTCCGTTTGAATTTTCCGGATCCGTCCAGTAGTTTCGGAGATACGAGGGGGGGGGCAAAAAATGTCCCCCCTCTACCGCGCGGAAGGTGGCCGGGAGGCCCACCGCCTGCCGGGTTAACCCTCGCCCGCACATGCCATTTTCCCATCCTAGAACGCACATGGGGGGGGGGGGGTTGCCACCCCCCCGCGCCATTTCGTTCCTGTTGGAGATAGAGCTTGGCGGTAAAGACCAAAAAGATTCTTTGGGAAGAGACGAATCCAATGATACCCAGTTTTACCTTCTCAGGTCAGTCATTGACCTTCCAGGTCAGGTCAAACTAAAAAATGTTGCTGTTTTGGGTCACCGTTTGATATCAAGTGCGCTGCTTATCATATACCGATGACGATGCCGTTTTCTTGTGCCAAGCCAGCTAGAACCTATTTCTCACACTACCCGACCAGGTTTTTGCTGCTGAGGTCATTTCAGGTCAAGTTAGGTCAAGGTCAATTATATGTGTTTGTATGTCTGTGTGTGTCTGTGTGTATACTGATGTGTGCACCGATTGTTTATGTGTCCATATTACATGAAATCATGATCTGAGAAGCTTTTACCAAAATGCAGTCAAAAAACTTCACAAAAAGTAAATTCCGCTTGCCTAAAACGTAATTATCTTAGATGACCTAGGTTGACCTTGACCTTGACCTTGACATCTGTACATCGTCGAACAACATGTTCCATGATAGGTGGGAGGTAAGACTGGTAAAAAAGGCCGAAATCAATGTGTCAAAAGCTCACAAGGCCCATAGCCAACGCAAGATGTCGAGAATTGGCCATTTGGGTCATGACATGACCTGAAAAACAAGGTCATATCTCCGAAACCAAAAGTCACAGAAACCTGAAATTTTCAGTGGACATCAAGAAAGGATAGAGGAGCAGCTATACGAAAAATCAGCCTTCTAGCTCTAAAAATGTTGAGGGCAGAGCAGAAAGACTACCTGGGGGGGGGGGGTGGTGGCAACCACCCCCCATGTGCGGGCGAGGGTTAAGCATTCATGAATTATAACCGGGGCATTGTAGTTATCTCTAATCTACTTATATGTACTCCCTGTGACGAAAAAGGAGAGAACCAGTTACGAGACGTCATAGTCAGAGTCGATATCGACTGATATCACGTCATCATGTGTATAAAAACAAGCGGGAAATTAGGAAACAAAGTTTATAACAAATGAGACATTGGGTTTACTCGATCGTTGTTTGTTGTTGCGCCGTAGTGGTCGAGGAGAGGGAGTCTATGGCCTAGACACTGGACACACCTGTACCATCTGATTAAACGGTGACCCGTGAGGGGCGTACATAGTACAAACATACATCTTCGGGGTTGCTCGTGTATAGTTTGGGTGACTGCTAGCCCGGACAGGCTGGTAGTGTGAACAAGAATGTGGGAGGGTAGGCCCATATAACTGGGCATTGGTTTATAGAGGTCCGCGGTTGGTCTCGATCTGCGAAGATATAAAGGGCGAAATTTCTTTGCCTTTATCGTTTGATCAGTACCTAGAGCTGGTAATTGTGTCGAGCCGTTCCGGGGGCGTCGTTCCCGGCTGCCTCATCAGGTGTGGGGTAGGCTCCCACTTCAGCCGTAGCCTGGGGGGGGGGGGGATAGGACGAGGAGGAGGAGCAGGTGCTCTCTCCTGTAATTGGGAAATCTATGCCTGTAGAAGAGAGTTCCGAACAAATAACCCGGCAGTTGCTGGGGTATTTCGCCACCCACCGTTTGCTGGGGGGGGGGGCGTTAAACGCCCCCAGCCGATAACTCGAGAACCAACAGGCGCAGCGAAACGCACGAGGCGGCAAACGAAAGAACGCGACGAGACGCTTCAGATGAGTACTTTAAAGTTGAATTTTGAGGTCACAGGTCAGGTCAAGGTCAGGTCAAACACCTGAAATCGGGTTTTCAGTAGCATGGACTTCAGGACTTCGCAATGGGCGCCTCTCGTCATAAACTCTGTCAAAACGGTGCACAATCCATCATATAAGGCCTACAAGAGTGTCAGCTCCATGCAGGGGTCAGTCAAGCATAGGTCAGGGTCAAGGTCAGGTCAACCGGGCAGGCACATATCCCCGAAAATCAAAACTGATATTCGCAGCATGTGACACATGTTTTATGGGTAATTTGGGGCGTAGAACACGATGGTGACATTCATTTTATCATATGTGTACGTGTTTGGCTAAAAAAGTTCAATTTAAGAAATTCATGTATCATGGTCGTGAAGTAGTCACGAGAAATTGTCAAGATTCAGTTCAAGATTTTGGAAAATGCGGAACGATAATCAATAATCGAAGATAGCCATTTGATTCTCCATGGTATTGGCAGTCTAATGGCGTTTACGGCATGTCTATATGTCTATTCTGTGATTTTATATGATTTTTTGAACATATGCCGTTTTTGGTCGAAAACTCAGAAATCATGACGTCACTAAAACCTCGATATCTCAAAAAATTTTCCGACCGATTTTTTTTTAAACTTTGTCACAATAAACTTCAATCAATTCCCTACAGGTACCCAAAATTTGGCGCGCCTGCGGCGCGCCGTTTTTATGCTATGGCCCGGCGAAAAAAGTGGGGGCGTTTAACGCCCCCCCCCCCAGCAACTCGCGGGATAAAAAAGCTCCCTTATGCCATACAAAGGAGATTCGGATATGTAGACGTCACCCTACCATTACTCATGCATATATTTTCTGTCTCTATGTTTTCAGGGGCGAGGAATACCTCTCGATCGCCGACTATGAGCTGGGCAACGTGCGACTCACCAACGGACAGATCTCGGGTCTGGCCACCTTGCGGCGAAAAGGAGAAGCTCGAATGGACAGCGACTGTGATGGCGCTACCATCGAGGCTAAACTGGTGTTGGAGCAGGTCCGACTCTGCTACGACTATTCGGCTAAGGTCGGTCTGTCGCCAATTTCATGTTCCAGCGTAGATGTCGCGCTTGACGAGCCAGCGGACACACCGAGTCCAAATTGAAAACTTTTCACGTTTTTGGCCGTTTTTAGCCATGCAGCAATCACTTGGACCGTGTCGTGATCGTTTATAGGACCTCAGGTCTCAAGACATTGGATTGTAGCTCGATACCAACTTTCCACCTTTTATGTAACAGTATGACGAGCAAATATAGCCACTGAAAGTTGCTCTACCACTGCCCATGTATCTCTGGGCACTGGTCGCAAAAAGGCTGTGAGCCGTGAAGTGACACTCACCTGTACATACCTACCGGCAATAAAAACTGATGTGCTGTCATTCGATGATCGATAGCCCCCCTCACTACCGTAGATATGACTCATGTGTTTCGATGTCCTCCTATTCAGGTCCTGTTTGCCAAAAACCAGGGCGATGTTAGCGTGTGCGCCGGCGAGATCGAGACCTTCATCCGAGTGCACCAGACCTCGGACCTCAGCAAGTCACCCATTTTGCAAGGTCTGTTTTATTTACGTAACGGCACTGCATGAAAACATTCATTTGCGGTTAATTCTGAACAGACGTTTTTTAACCCTCGCCGGCCGAGGGGGGGGGGGGGGCGGGTGCCGCCCCCCATAGGGTTTTTTTCGCGATAGCTCCGAACACGCTGGCGATAGAGAGTTGAAACTCGGCATACCTGACCTTTGATCCAAGCCAGATCTTTTGACACCAACCGCATTTTTGGGTCAGGTCAGGTCACTGACCTATGACGTCATAAGTGAACCTCTGCACGGTCTTCAGATGTCGCAACTTCGCAACGCCCTCACTGCCAGAGGAGATGTCACAGGGAAATGAAACTTGCAGGATCTAGTATCCATTATGAGTCCCACAACTTGTATATCTCGGATTTTTCCTAAAGGTCATATGAGGTCAGGTCATTTTCGTGACCTCACCATTATAAGTCAATGGGGAAAAATGAAAACTGCTATTCTGGCGCTGGGAACGATGTCCAACTATCTCAAGCACACAGAATCGTGATTCGATGCACTCCTTGCAAGGTTAGATGCGTCACTTTTGCAATGTTGACCTTGCGTGACGTCATTTATGACGTCATCAAGGTCAAATTAGTTTTTCGTCAATAACTCTTGATCAAATTGAGCTAGCGAGTCGGGAAAGGCACCAATGGACTCAGGAAGGCCTGCCGAATCGAATGATATGCGACATGACCTCTTTCGACTAACTTCGTGACCTGGGGGTGCTGACCTGACCTTGACCTGAGGTCAACACCCAAAGTTGACCTGACCCGGACAAAAAGTATATCATTCGACGCGCATGAATACGCGTTTTTCGGGCTTAGCCTAACCAAATAAAACACCGTTTAATTTACCCTAACGAAACTTACGCTAACATTTTTGATCGTTTAATTGCAAGTTAGCCTAAATCTGGCTTATGCTGATATGAAGGGAATATGAAGGAGCCGTTGAAACAGAGCCAGAAAACTTCGCCACGGTTATCATGCGACCAGCTGAACTTTCCGCAGATTGGGAGACACTGCTACGGAGTTGAAGAGGCTAGTCCACGGGCGTAAGTAATTCTTTTTTCCAATCAAAGGAAGGCGCTATACGGAGTATATCCCAGTGCGTCATTGTCAAGTGACTTACAATACCTTTATCCGGCCAGCTGTCTGCGAGGTGAAGTGGTTGGTTAGCGCACTCGCCCCGTGTTCAGAGGACCGAAGGTTCGAATCCCGCCGGCGGCTGAAATTTTTGGCGCGTTGTAGGTTTGTAGGCTGTAGGTTAGGTCAAGTTAGGTTAGGTTAGGTTGTTAGTTTTTGTTTGGTTTGGTTACAAAGAAGCATCTTCAGGTATAGTGCTTACCTTTGGTTGGAAAAAAGAAACACGCAGTCCATGGATGGCTCACGCCGCGCTACATTTATGAACAGGCATTAGTGACGCAGTTCCGAGTCCACGGGTCCGGCACTAACATCAAATTCGGCTGATACGTTCAGAGCATATTCCCAGGAATATTCACCGCGGACGGCAAATTTCCCGAAAATGGCCGATCGGAGTCGTTCCCGGATGTAATAGGTGTTCTCTATGTGATGCCACAATGCGTGCGTGGTCCTCGGCATCAGTATTTCGGCTCGTGGGTCGTTCACATAAATCTGAGCGAATGAGGGTGGCTGGTCTCCGTTGGCTTCGAGTGGTTCAAGTCGGTCCCGCAGTCCGCACCACATGTACACGGCACGTACCCGCCGGTGCCAGCAGGCTGTGGCACCCGTCACGGCTCACGCGCAGACATCGACGACAGGGCCAGCGCCGAGTTCAGACTTCAGATGCCTGGAAAACTGACGGAAGGTACGCGCTTCCACACCGTCGCCAGCCCAAAGATGGCGCAGCACAGGTGGCGGGGCCGGCACGGGGTCAAGGAGGACCTCCCCCATCCCACCCACCCCACAGCAGAAGGTGGCACGTTCACCCAACCACCGTAAGGCCGCACGCGCTACGCCAGCCTGCAGCCGCTCCCCTAGCATCATAGCATTAGTTTGCACTAGAACATACAGGGTGTAACGAAATTATCCGGACATCTATTTTTTCGCCATATCTGCTCGCACAGTTTCTTGTTTAATGTGGAAGCTGGAAAATTGGATGAATGCATATTATCACAGACGGTGTCTCGGTCCAAACTGTATTCGAGCCGGCCTGGTAGCCCCCGGGTCACAGAGGCAACGCCACCACGGTTCACATACGAGTGTCATGAGCGCATGTCACGAGCGCAAGTACGCGTGCACCGGCGCGGCGGCCGCCAGCTCAGCTCCATGACACTCCTCCACCCCGAATACTTGCACAGCATGGACAAGCAAATAAATACGCACATCACAGAACAAATAACAACTGAAACAAAACGCCTACTCATAGCTCGCCACGTATCGGTCTGGGGGCCGCAGGGTGGACCGGTCTCTCAGCCGGTACCGCGGCGCGCTGGGAGAGGGTGCGGACGGCGGGACGGTGGTCACACCCGGCGCGGGCACCGCTCCGGTCAGCCCTGGCGGCGCCGGAACAGGCGGCCGGCCAGGAGCAGGCGCTCGATCAGGAGCCGGCAGCCGGTCGGGAGTGGAGGCCAGTTGTCCGGGAACGGGAGCATGCCGTGCAGATGCAGCGGCGCTCTCCGTGACCGGATCAGGAGCAGGTATCGGTGTCACTCTGGAACGGAGAGGATCGTTAGCGACATGCGGAACAGCTGAATATCGCTCACGAACCTGGTCGGCGTGCCGCACAATCACCCTTACGTCATTTAGCTCCACAGTGACCTTAACTCCCTCTACGAACACTACACGACCGGGCGCCCACCGACAACGCTCCAATCCCTGCAATCTATCGACAGCAGGCACATACACAGGGTCACCCGGGTTCAGACATCGTTCACGGGCATTTCGATCACGGTACGTCTTTTGAGCCTCCTGCTGTCTCCGTATACGCTCCTGCCTATCTGGTAGCAAACCATCTAAATGAGTGCGTGGCACACGACCCAGAAATAATTCGGCGGGCGTACATGAGGTCGTAGTATGCGGTGTTGTGCGGTACCTAAACAGAAATCGAGAGACCTTGGTCTCAATGGACCCCGAGATCTGTTTGTACAGCCCGTTTTTGAAGCTTTGCACGCTTCTTTCGGCTAAGCCGTTTGATTTGGGTGATAGGCTGGGTGTCGTTAAGTGCCTGATCCCATTTACACTGCAAAACGTTTTGAATTGCTGTGATACAAAACACTGGGCGTAGTCTGTCACTAGCACTGTTGGCACTCCCCAGCACGCAAACGACGCTCGTAATTTTTCAATCGTGATCAGTGAGTCGGAGGAACGAGTTGGGTAGACGTCCATCCATTTGGAGTGGGCGTCGACTATCACCAGAAACATCTATCCGTTAGCCGAGCAATAGTCTACATGGACTCGCTGCCAGGTCGAGTCGGCCACTGCCAAGGATGCAGTGGAGCGTCAGGGGCCCTGCCCTTCAGTTCCTGACACTTCACACAACACTTCACGATATCACGAATGTCGTCATCGATTTTTGGCCACCAAACATACATTTTAGCCAACATTTTGGTTCTACACTCGCCAGCATGACCTTCATGTAATAACTTTAACATGGCACCCCGTCCCTGCGGCGGAACCACCACTCGTGACCCCCACAAAACACAGCCATCCTGCACACTCAGTTCACCTATACGGGACCTGTACGGCTGAAAATCAGGGCTGAGGGAAACACTATTGACATCCGGCCAGCCATCTCTGACATATCGATGTACCGCTGACAACACGGGATCCAGAGCGGTCTACCGCTGTATCTGGGACACATTCACTGGGGAATGGGGATGAGTCGATGAACTCAAGTAAATGGACAGTCTCAGCCGGAATTGGAACGCTCGAACAAGCCTCCTCGCACGAAGGCAGCCTGCTAAGCGCGTCACAGTGGCCTTGCTTAGATCCTTGCCGGTACTCAGTAGGCCCCAAGCATCAGAGCCCAGCGGACCATCCTAGGTGACGCCATCACGGGCAAAGGTTTCTGCTCTCCTATGAGGCCTATGAGAGGCTTATGATCTGACTGTATAGTGAAAGTTCGCCCCGCTAGGTAATAGTGAAATTTCTTAAAGCCGGTCACTACAGCTAATGCCTCTTTATCAGTCTGTGAGTATCTAGTTTCGGTGTCATTCAACGTGCGCGAATAGTAGGCCACAGGTCGCTCGCCCTGTGACGTCCGCTGACTCAACACACAGCCAATGCCGACCGGTCCCGCGTCACAGGCGAGAACCACCGGAAGGGCGGGATCAAAATGGGCTAGTACAGGAGGGCTAACTACCATCTCTTTGGCTTTCCGAAAAGCAGACTTCTCTGCCTCAGCCCACTGCCAGGGCTGATCTGCCTTTAGAAGACGATAGAGCGGAGCCAAGACACTCGCCAGGTTCTCAAGGAATTTCCCATAGTAGTTGATTACAAGCCACTTACGCAGTTCCTTAGCATCCCGCGGTTCCGGGGCACGGACAATCGTGGCCGTTTTTTCGTCGGTGGTCTCCACACCACGGCTGCTTATCTTAAGCCCCAGATAGGTCACGCTGCTGACGCCGAAGCTACACTTGGCCTTGTTGACCCTAAAACCCGCTTCCTCCAGCCGTCTAAGAACCTGCCGGAGGGCCTCGTCATGCGCAGCGGCATCGACACCCGCGACTACAATGTCGTCCAAGAAGACCCGAACGCCGGAGATACCAGCCAGGACAGTTTCCAGCGTCCGCTGGAAGTTGGAACAGCGACACTGCACTCGAATAGGCGAAGGTCAACCGAAGGGGTCGAAGAAGACCCCTCGGGGTGTCTACCGTGAGATACTCGCGGGCCTTTTCATCTAGCGGAAGCTGATTATACGCGTTTTTCAAGTCGATCTGTGAAAATATGGTACATCCCGACAGTTTTGAGTACAGTTCCTCCACACGCGGCAAGGGATACTGCTCTGCCTTAGCAGCCCTGTTGACGG